GATTAATAATAAAGAAAGAATTGTAAAGGTGCATCTGATTCTTGCATTTAAATTATTCATTAATAAATATATTTTTAAACATAAATAAATAAAAAATTTTGTTAATATATATCATAAGGAAAATCTGTCTTTCAGCTGTTTTATAAAATTATTTTTTATAAAATTTTCTTACATACATATTTGTCTACATTTCTTCTATTTTTTCATAAATCTATGTACGTGACAATTGAAGTATAAGCAAGTACAACTAAAAAGAAAGATTTTTTTTACAAAAACAATCATGTATTAATTAATACTTCAAAAACATAAATATGAAAATATAGTTACATTTCAGAAATATCATTAAAAAACAAGTTTATCAATATTTGTATCAACATAAGTTATATATTTAATACATTTCTTTTTTATAAGTTAAAAACAATTTATGTTAATTAACACTTCAAACCACAAATAGATACAAAAATATAATTACATTCCAGAGATGTCATTAAAAGCAAGTTTACCAAGATTTTAAGTCAATAATCCAACACGAGTTACATAATCAAATTGCCAGAATAATGTAGAGAGAACAGGAATATTCTGAAAATAGTTTATACGAAAAGGAGAAAATAAGATTGACTAACTGCTATCACACAACTGGATTCTGCAAATTTTTTCAGGACTAATGCATTAATATTGACAGATACATTTACGTATTTACATATAATTACTATAAATTACAAAAATACATATATGATTATTGGAGCAATGTATAAATGATATCATTAAGAAATATATCATTGTACTGTCAACGTGCAAAATCATTAATCAACCAGACATACGAATTACAGTCACAGCGAAATACTCCGCATAATTTGATTTGAGATACGGTGAATTATAATCCCACTAAATATAATATAAATTTACTCACATTCATGATACGAGTGACACGTTTTACTTGCGATTGCCGTAAAACCCTGTACACAGGATTCGATAAATTGTTCCAAGCGTACATACGAGCCCGGGAGCCGCACTTCCCTCAGAATAGCATTGGACTCTCGGGCGAGACGTGAACAAGCTTCTTTTCATAATTGTGCCGATCCAAGCACAGTCCACTCCAAGTGGATGTGTAATATCATATTGATGCGGCAAAGCAACAGTTATCACACATTTCTTCACACGAAATTGCAACCTCCTACGACGCTCTGCCGACAATTTCTAATTTACCACTTTCCATCGACTCCGCTTCTCCCATTCTTATCAGTTCTTACCAACATACCTCTATAAGGTAAACGGTCGGATCGGCGAGATTGGTAATCGGAGTAATTGTATGCACAAGGCAACGACGTTCAATCAATCATGGATAAAAGCATTCCGCGATTCCGCGAGCAGGGCTTACATGGGCTTACAAAAATATATGCACATATATATGCGAGAACTATTCAGGTGCAGCATATATGTATATATACATATACATACATATGCATACGTATGTGCATGAAAGCTAAATAGCGCACATAAAATAATCGTATTTTGCGAGTTTTGTTGTGGAACGAAGGTTCTAATCGACCCTGAACATTTCGATTACGCGAGACATTTGATGGCTAGAAAAAAATGCGGTTGCAGTTTGCACACATGTGTTGTGTGTATTTATTCATATGTATATATACGTGCTTAGTGCATACATATATGACATACGTAGGACGCATGCGAATATATATATATATATATATATATGCATGTAGCAGAAAGAGATCAAGCATATAAGAGAAACAGTACGTCCGTTCGTATTGGGTGTATCCAGAAGCACAACTGCTCACTGAGTGCATTGGGTGCATTCAGTACTACGACCGCTTTCTGAGCGTTCAGTGAGCGCTTGTATCTGATTGGTCTATATTTTTAGATCCAACGGAATATGCTAATCAGCTCTAATGCTGGATTCACAATGCATCCAATTTTCGTCGTACGATGCTCTGCAACCAATCAGAAAACAGGATTCCGATGATACAAAGTAAAATCCATCGGAATCCTGTTTTCTGATTGGTTGCAGAGCGTCGTACGACGAAAATCGGATGCAGTGTGAATCCAGCAAGAGCTCACTGAACGCTCAGTGAGCGGTTGTAAGCCCGGATCCTCATACGGGCAACAGCATTTTGACACAGAGCGCTAATTGGTGAAAAGCCGGTTGTGGGGGTAAAATATACCCCCATCACCCATTTTTCACCAATCAGCGTTCGGTGTCAAAGCGCTGTTGCCCGTATGAGAATCTGGGCTAATACTGAATGCACCCATTCAGTACAACAACCGCTCACTGAGCGCTCAGTGAGCTTTTATATCTAATTGGTGTATATTTTTAGATCTAATGGAATATGCCAATAAAATGCAAGAGTTCACTGAGCGCTCAGTGAGCGATTGTATCTGATTGGCATATTCCACTGGATCTAAAAATATAGACCAAGCAGATACAAGAGCTCACTGAGCGCTTAGTGAGCGATCGTGCTTCTGGATGCACCTAATTATTTGTGTTATTTGCATTTTTTGCACTTTAACCTCTTTTAAGCCTTGGCTGCGTTTAGCAAACTCAACAGTTTTGCAACCGTTTTATGATTCTTCACTCAGATTGGACTATTCCTTTAAAACTAAAAGTACAAACCAATCAGCGCAACGAATTATAAAACGGTTGCAAAACTGTTGAGTCTGCTGAGCGCAGCCCTTGTGTCCACGATGCTAGAAATCGGTCCGAGACCTCGGATGAAGAACAAATTGACCAATCGCAATGGTCATGTGATCAAATTGTTCAAATGTGATTTATTAATTTTTCCTCTGTCCGAAATCTCGGACCTATTTCTAGGGATGATCCCGATTGACCACGGCTCGATTGAACACCACCAATCACAACGACCGGTGCTTAGGAGCTTTGTAGTCTCAAACGTTGTGAGTGGCTTGTGTCCAATTGAGCCGTGTCCAACTGGGTGCCACTCGATTTCTAGCATCGTGGACTTCAGGCTTTAGGTCGGAATTAGACTATGCATTGGTGCTTTCCAATTGCTTAAGGCGATGCTAAAGCCTCCTGTTTTACCCACATTTCCATTCGGTGAAAAATCTCCGTATTGGATGTACGGATTGCAAAAAGGGTGGCACCCAGTTGGACACGGCTCAATTGAACACGAGCCATTCACAGCGCTTGAGACTACAAAGCTCCTA